AAAAAAATAATTAAAAGGGGGGCTAATAATTCTCACTTCAACTGTGTGTGTGTGTGTGTGTGTGTGTGTGTTTGTGTGTTTGTGTGTGTGTGTGTGTGTGTATTTAACTTTCATCGAATATGCTTTATATATATATATATATATATATATATATATATATATATGTGTGTGTGTGTGTGTGTGTGTGTGTGTGTGTGTGTGTGTGTGTGTGTGTGTGTGTGTGTGTGTGTGTGTGTGTGTGTGTGTGTGTGTATGTGTGTGTGTGTGTGTGTGTGTGTGTGTGTGTGTGTGTGTGTGTGTGTGTACAGTTAAAGTCAGAATTATTAACCCCTCTTTGATTTTTTTTTTTCTTCATATTTCGTAAATAATGTTTAACAGAGCAAGGGAATTTTCACAGTATGTCTAATAATAATTTTTATTCTGGAGAAAGTCTTTTACTCACTCTGGACGAGTACAGTTCTTGAAGTGTAGGAAGCATAGTGCCAGTGATTTGTTCATCAAGCCATTAAATGCCACTTTAAGCTGTATAGAAATGTCTTAAAAAATATCTAGTCAAATATTATTTACTGTCATCATGGCAAAGATAAAATAAATCAGTTATAAAAAATAAGTTATTAAAACTATTATGTTTTGAAATGTGTTGAAAAAAATCTGCTCTCCGTTAAACAGAAATTGGGGAAAAACTATTTCGGGGCTAATAATTCCGACTTCAACTGTATATAAGTTTATTTTTGTTGATTTGCACACTGAAAAATGGCACAACTTGTCTTAGAATGGTTTATGTTTGAATTACATTACTTGAAACCATTTTTTATTATTTTTTATTTGTAACTGGAGAAAAAAAGTCACACATTCATTACCAGAGTTGAGTGTAACGTTTTACTGTATTCTAATTACATTTGTTGGGGAACGCTGAAATTTAAGGAATTACATTTTAAATTTGTGTAATTTGATCTCAGTCATATATATATATAATGAATATTAAAGCATATTAAAGTCATGCAAACCATCTAGTTTAAATATTAGTATAATATTTTATTAACATGTTCCTAATAACTTTACTTTAGTAATTGGTTGCTGCATTATCTTATTACTTTAATAATTTAAATCTACATTTTTTGCTTATTAATTTAAATGATTGCATTCCAGCATAACTTTTAAAGTTTGCATTGCGTTCTCGATCATTTTTACTGTGCTGGATGAGAAAAACAGATTCAGAGTTTTTGTGTGATTTGCTTATTTCCCGAGTCTCCTCTGCTGTGTCAGAACTGTGAACTAGATAGTCGTAACGTTTTATCATGAGCATTTTTATAGTGCATCTGCGTGTGTTTGTGGGATCTTTTTGTTGTGGTGGTGTTATGGGCTGTGTTAGGACCGAACGGCTCTGCAAGGCACTTCTGCAAAGCATTACTGTGGCATCTATGAAATGTGTTTTGTAACGCGAGGCTGTCATGGTAATGATTTTAAATAGGGATGTGTTCGAGTAGTGCCGAACGCTAGTAAATACACTCTGCTGTTTGTAATAAGACTAAATAGTTCGCTTTGGCAGATAAAGAGATAATATTATTAAAATAGAGCTTTTGTGAATCTTATATGAACGTTCACGTTATTGTGATCAATAATGGGTGTGTGGAGATGGGTAAATCTTTTTTGATTCCTGATATGGTCATACATTCCAGCAAATTATAATGCATCTAAATATCACTATGTAGTTCAAAATAAAAGTTGTTTTGGTAACACTTTACAATAAGGTTCATTATTTAATGCATTTACTAACATGAACTAATCATGAACAACACATGTACAACATTTATTAATCATATATTAACATTTACTAATGCATTATAAACATTCAAGTCCATGCTTGTTAACATTAGTTAATGCACCATGAGTTAACATGAACTAACAATGAACTACTGTATTTTCATTAACTAACGTTAACATAAACAAATACAGTAGTTAATGTCGTTCATTGTTTGTTCATCTTAGTAAATGCATTAATTAACATTAACTAATGAACCTTATTGTAAAGTGTAACCATTGTTGTTTTCAGTTGAAGATCAATCCATCCATCCATCTAAATGAATAAATGCATTATTGTTTTATTTATCCATAAAAATTTTTTTATTATATTAAATGTAATACAATGTGGTATGATCACTTATTCTTTTATTCTAATGTGTACTTTAGAAAATAGAGGTCAGATTAAGTGTTTCTTATTTTCATAGATTGAATGAAGATGGTACAATATTTCAAATATTTTTTGGCATTCGTCACCTTTTTTTTCATCATTTTTTTTTGGTCAAAATTGAGTTATTGACATTCTTATTAAATGACAACTTATTTACATTGTGGGATGTTTTTATAAGTTGTAATTATACTGTTTGCTATAGAATGCAAAAACTTTGAAACTCAATATCTCAAAATCTTTCAGATTGTAGATTAAATCTCATAATTCCAAGGTAACGCATTGTAGTTATTTATATTTATGTACAGTTAAAGTCAGAATTGTTAACCCCTTTTATTTTTTACATTTTTAAAATATTTCCTAAATGATGTTTAACAAAGCAAGAAATTTTTCACAGTAGGTCTAATAATAATTTTTATTCTAGAGAAAGTCTTTGTTTTAAAAAGTATTTGTTTGAAACTTTGTTTGAAATTATTTTATTTTAGCTTGTATAAAGCAGTTTTTTTATTTTTTTTTAAAACATTTAAGGTCAATTTTTAGCCTCTTTATGCTAAACTTTCTGTTGATAGTCTACAGAACAAACCATCGTTATACAGTAACTTGCCTAATTACCCTATCCTGCCTAGTTAGCCTAATTAACCTAGTTAGAGTCAGTATCAGTTTTTTTTAGCCAAGTGTGCTTCACACACACACACACACACACACACACACACACATACACACACACACACACAAGGAATTTGTTTTGGCTACAGAAGCTTCCAGTGTCCATAAAGTGACTAGTGACAACGCAAAATAGATATGAAAAATAGACGATAAACGTTAAACAGAGATGCAGTTAGTCAAAAAAGATCTGAATGTTGAGTTGTATGGACAGATTTGTTATAAATATACAGCTTTTACGGTGCTGTGTACAAATGCGAAAGGAGAAAGTATTGGATTGCATATTGATATAAGGTGCTGTGAACAAGTGTGTATGAGAAAGTATTGCACATGTTTATTGCACAGTTGGGGGATATTTAACTGTTCATGGGGTAGATGGCCTGAGGAAAGAAACTCTTCCTGTGTCTGGCTGTTTTTGTGGTTGGTGCTCTGAAGCGCCGTGCAGACGGTAACAGTTCGAACAGGTAGTGTGCTGGGTGCGAGGCGTCCAGAGTGATTTTGCAAGCTCTTTTACTCACTCTGGACGAGAACAGTTCTTGAAGTGTAGGAAGGGTAGTGCCAGTGATTTGTTCAACAAGCCTTTAAATGTCACTTTAAGCTGTTTAGAAATGTCTTGAAAAATATCTAGTCAAATATTATTTACTGTCATCATGGTAAAGATAAAATAAATCAGTTATCAGAAATGAGTTATTAAAACTATTATGTTTTGAAATGTGTTGAAAAAAATCTGCTCTCCGTTAAACGGAAATTGGGGAAAAATTATTTCAGGGCTAATAATTCTGAATTCTGACTGAAAAATGGCACATCTTGTCTTTGATTGGTTTATTTTTTAATTAATTTACTTAAAACCATTTTTAATCATTTTTTATTTGTAACTGGAGAAAAAAATTCACACATTCATTACCAGAGTGGAGTGTAACGTCTTACTGTATTCTAATTACATTTTTTGGGGAACGCTGAAATTTAACGAATTACATTTTAAATTTGTTTAATTTGATCTCGGTTACTAAAGTCAATGCAATTGTGTTATTTACATTACAGATATGGAGTTTTAAATAATGTTTTTCTGCTGCAACGTCAGTTAATGAGCATTTACTTTTAAATTGCTGAAGAACGCGAGCTGAAATGGCTGATGACAAGAGTGGCTGCTTCAAGAGAGATTCTGACATTACTTTGATTTCATTGAGCACAAAAATATTGCTGTGAAATGCCCATTCCAGTCTCTAAAGAGCTTTTGACTGCTTTTAACTAAACCAACAGCTTGTTTAAGCAATTGAACAGAAAGCATCATGACAATACTCGTCACCAAGGAGGACACCTGCGCCCGAAAACACAGCGGCCCAACTCGGCCTAAACAGGCTAAATTTAATTTCTGTGCAGGATTGGGAGTGAAGGTACTTTCTGAATGTGAGAAGTGTAGCTGATTTTGGGGCCTTTCACATCTCACGTCTTTTGCACACTCAAGTGCATTTTTCCAATGGAGAAGCGTGGCTTGTATGCGCATATTGCGCACGCTCGCATTTTCCAGGCACACTCAGTTGAAAACTGCGAGTCATGTGACAAGGACTGACCAATTAGCTTCAAACTTTGTATGGAATATACATATTTTGGTGGACTAATTACCTCAGACAAACACAAACACCCAAACACTGCAGTGCTTTTGCATTCTATGGATGTCAATGGTTACCGGTGTCTAGTTTTCTTTTGACATGTTTGGAAGAAGTGAATGATAAGAGAATTTTAGGTTTTGGGTGAACTATCTCCAAGTCTTTTGAATATGTCAAGCTGCTGTGATCAACTTATTGTAATGTTTTTCAGTCATTGTGAAATTACTGAAAGAGCTGCAGCTTATTTAGTATTTTTTATAGGTTTTATATGTTTTAAAAGTAACTTTAAAGTAAAGTAATTAGTTATCTGATTACTTTTTGCTTTAAGTTATTAGTAATGTAATGTGATTACATTTTTTCCAGTAGTAATCAGTAAGTTGTAATCTATTACTTATTTGAAGTAACTTACCCAACACTGCTGTTGCATTACCAACTCTCACAGAGACTGAAATGTTTATTGTTTATCTGTATTTTGCTTAGTTCTTGATCATGAAATGTACATTCATCTGAGTTAATCTGTTTTTAATTTTTTGTATTTTCAGGTCGTATTCTGGACCTGAAGACGGGGACAGTGAAGAAGGAAGGTCAACAGTCCTCTATGAGGATGTGTATGGGCTCCAGGCGCTCCTTCATCTGCAGAATGAGGTACATCTTCATCATCTTTATAAACTTAAAGATATTGCAGTCCAGCATAAGCTTTGTTTTTTTTTTTTTTATTTAATTTTTTTTAAAAGTCTGCATGAACTCGGCATTGTCGAGACTTTTATTTTAGTACGTTGATGTACTTAAAACTGAATATTGAGTAGAGGCGGGGCTTTTTTTGTACGCATCTTTCCCTCACGGCAAATGAACAGTAGGAGGCGGTATTAATATGCAGTTGCTATGGAAATCATCAGGTTGATGTCAATAAAAGCACCACCACTCCAAATGCCAAAGCATTTCACTTTTATTAAAGAATATATTCTCGTAACCTTTTTACTTTATTCTCGCAACATTTGAGCTTTATTCTCGCAACATTTCAGCTTTATTCTCGCAACATTTCAGCTTTATTCTCGCAACATTTCAGCTTTATTCTCGCAACATTTCAGCTTTATTCTCGCAACATTTCAGCTTTATTCTCGCAACATTTCAGCTTTATTCTCGCAACATTTCAGCTTTATTCTCGCAACATTTCAGCTTTATTCTCGCAACATTTCAGCTTTATTCTCGCAACATTTCGACTTTATTCTCGTAACATTTCAACTTTATTCTCGCAACATTTCGACTTTATTCTCGCAACATTTCGACTTTATTCTAGCAACATTTTAGCTTTATTCTCGCAACATGTCAGCTTTATTCTCGCAACATTTCAGCTTTATTCTCGCAACATTTCAGCTTTATTCTCGCAACATTTCAGCTTTATTCTCGCAACATTTCGACTTTATTCTCGTAACATTTCAACTTTATTCTCGCAACATTTCGACTTTATTCTCGCAACATTTCGACTTTATTCTAGCAACATTTTAGCTTTATTCTCGCAACATGTCAGCTTTATTGTCCCAACATTTCAACTTTATTCTCGCACCATTTTGACTTTGTTCCCGTAACATTTCGACTTTGTTCTCGTAAAATTTTGCTTTTATTCTTGTTACATTTTGACTTTTTTCTTGTAGCATTTCAGTTTTTCACGTAACATTTCAGCTTTATTCTCGCAACATTTTAACTTTGTTCTTGAAACATTTCGACTTTATTCTCATAACATTTCGACTTTATTCTCGTAACATTTAGATTTTTATTCTCGCAACATTTCATTTTTTTTCTCGCAACATTTCAGCTTTATTCTCGTAACATTTCAATTTTATTCTTACAACATTTCAACTTTGTTCTTATAACATTTCGACTTTATTCTCGCAACATTTCGGCTTTATTCTCAGAACATTTCAACTTTATTCTTGTAACATTTTTACTATACTTGTTACATTCGTTTTATTCTCGTAACATTTCAGTTTTATTTTCGCAACACTTTAACTTTATTCTTGTAACATTTCAGTTTTATTCTCGCAACATTTCGGCTTTATTCTCAGAACATTTCGACTTTGTTCTCATAACATTTCGGTTTTATTCTCATAACATTTCAACTTTGTTGTCATACCATTTCAACTTTGTTCTTGTAACATTTCGACTCTATTCTCGCAACATTTCATGTATATTCTCATAACATTTCGACTTTGTTCTCGTAACATTTCGACTTTGTTCTTGTAACATTTCGACTTTATTCTCTTAACATTTCGACTTTATTCTCTTAACATTTCGACTTTATTCTCTTAACATTTTGAATTTATTCTCATAGCATTTTCAATTTATTCTAATAACATTTTGACTTCATTCTTGTAACATTTAAGCTTTTTTCTCATAACATTTCGGCTTTATTCCCGTAACAATTCGGATTTATTCTCATTACATTTCGACTTTATTCTTGTAATATTTTTACTTTATTTTTATAATATTTTTGATTTGTTCTTATAATATTATGACTTAATTCTAGTAATATATCAACTACATTTTTATTATTAAGTTTCCCAAAAAACTCAAGATTTTTGTTGTTTTAGCTCCTTTTAAATAAGTGGTTTGAGCAAGCAGCACTTTTTAAAACTTTTTTCAGTTTAGCAAACATAAAAAATAAAAATAAAAAAAGCTAAGGACTACAATGATTGTGTTTCGCTGATAATGAGAATAAGCAAGGGTAAAGGTTTACTCAATGTTTCTTTCAACACCGTCAACATTTCATGATGATAACTTACAAAGTATTTCCCTGTTCCTCCAAGTGTTGTTTCTTCGTCTGTCACCCTGACCACAACAACATAATTCCCCTGTTCCATTTTAAAGCCTGCACGGGAGATTCAAAACAGCAAAATGCATTAATAATGACATTTTTCAGCAATGAGGCAAACAGAAACCGAGACTGTTATTGTTGTTGTTGCTGAACATTCCTGTCCTCCCGCAGTATTGATTTTTTTTTTAAAAGAAGTTTTCATTCATGTTGTTGTTTTGAAGGCGTCTATATTTAACAACAGATGAAAACATGCAAAGTCTGTGCTTGTTTAAGTTCTAAGCCATGACGAGATACCACGAAATAATGCAAGATTAATCCACTTGTCTTAAATATAAGACATCAAGTTTAACATGTTTTTTTTTCAAAGATGTTTACATTTCATGGTATGTGCTTGTTTAAGTTATAAACCATGACAATAAATCCTGACATAATTAATTCCAACGTAATGCAAGATTAATTTGCATATGCCTTAAATATTTTTTCTATTTTTTCCAAGACATTTTCATTCATGGTGTTGTTGTGAAGCGGTTTATTTTTAACAACAGATGAAAATATGCATTGGTTTCTAAAAGTACAACAAATGGTATCCTAATTGAAGTATATCAGATTCGCAAAAATGTAGACAGTCTCTCTCGTGGATTTGTCATATGAAATATGCAGCAAAACATATCATTAGTATTCATATTTACAAAAATGTAGACATCGCCCTCTAGTAAATTTATCATCTGAAACGTACAACAAAACATACCTTAAATTTCAGATTGCCAAAAATGTAGACAGCGCCCTCTAGCAATTTTTTTTATCTGAAACGTGCAACAAAACATACGATAAGTATTTCAGATTCACAAAAATGTAGACAGCGCCCTCTAGTAGAGTTGTCAACTGAAACATGCAACAAAACACACCATAAGTATTTCAGATTTACAAAAATATAGACAGCGCCCTCTAGTAGAGTTGTCATCTGAAACGTGCAACAATACGTACCTTAAATAAAGTATCTCAGATTCACAAAAATGTAGACAGCGCCCTCTTGTGGATTTGTCATCTGTAGTGTGCGTCAAAACATACCTTAAGTATTTCATATTTACAAAAATGTATCTTGCGCCCTCTAGTGGGTTTGTCATCTGAAACCTGCAACAATACGTACCTTAAATAAAGCATCTCAGATTCACAAAAATGTAGACAGCGTCCTCTATTGAATTTGTCATCTGAAACATGCAACAAAACACACTTTCAGTATTTCAGATGAAAGCATGCATTAGTTTTAAGAAGTCTGTGTTTGTTTAAATTATAAACTGTCAAAATCCAGACATTATTAATTCTGACATAGTGCAAGATTAGCCCACATAGGTCCTAAATATGAGAAATATGAATATGAAATGTCTATTTATGGCCCTTTTTCAAATGGAAATGGCATGTGAGAGGATCAGCACATCTGTCAAGTGTGTGTAAAAACACTCGAGATAAACAGAACCTCTTTAAAAAAAACATCAGTTTCATTCTTATGCAGTGCTTTAATGCGGTTAAACTTCATGACTCAACTCTGAAGGAAGTGTAATTTAATTCTGCTCGGTTCCTGAAACGTACATGCTGTTTTTCTGCATGCCTTGCATTCATGAACAACATTTGACAAAGACCCGAGGGACGCCAGACTTTCGCCAGGTCGAACTGAAGTGATTTTGGGAGGCAAACAGCTCAAGTTGGAACAGATGTGAAATATTTGTACTCGTCAGCAGTGTCAGATCTCAGGTCGTTCGTGTAGATGGCTTTATGGCTTTCAGATAATAACAGCTGATAGATTATTGTAAGGTGGATTTTAAGGTATTGTTTTATTTCCTTTATTCTAGACGGTTAAAATACATTTATATCTTTATACATCTATTTACAGTGTTAATGGAAAGTATTCAGAACCCCTTAAATTTTCCCTCTGTCATATTGCAGCCATTTGCTAAACTCATTTAATCATTTTTTCCTCATTATTGTACACACAACATCCCATACTGACCGAAAAACACAGAATTGTTGACACTTTTACATCACCATTCATTCATTTACTTGTCAGCTTAGTCCCATTTTTAATCCAGGGTTACCACAGCGGAATGAACCGCCAACTTTTCCAGCAAGTTTTTATGCAGCGGATGCCCTTTCAGCCGCAACCCATCTCTGGGAAACATTCACACACACACTCATACACTACAGACAATTTAGCCTACCCAATTCACTTGTACCGCATGTCTGTGGACTGTGGGGGAAACCGCAGCACCCGGAGGAAACCCACGCGAAGGCAGGGAGAACATGCAAACTCCACACAGAAACGGCAACTGAGCTGAGGTTCGAACCAGCGACCTTCTTGCGGTGAGGCGACAGCACTACCTACTGCGCCACTGCCTCTCCAGTTGTTTTGTTTGTTTGCTTTATTTATAAAGCACATTTAAAAGCAGCAGATGTTGACCAAAGTATTTATACAAGAGTCTGTCTGGTTCTTGAATCTGATTGGCTGATAGCCATGCAATATTTTGCCAGTAACATCACACAAAAGCACGCATGTATGGGAGCTCAGTTCAGTTCTGGCGAGCTCTGAGGAGAGGTGTGATGGTCGCTCTACCGCTGTATCATTCTTTTATTTCAATAATGTAACATTTTATTTTGCGACGGATGTTTGAGTGTCTTTTTCTTTTCCTTTTGCCTACTCATTGTCATTGACCGGCATGTATGTAGTCGACAGCACTTAGGAGAAACGCATAAAGGTCAATTGGAAGTGCAAAATAGTTGCTCTCTCCATTACTTCAATCCTTAAAGTCTAATGCTGGGACCTCTGGCACCCGTCACAATACCGACAGCAACAGAGAAATACTGTAGACTGTAATACACTGTAGGAAGATATCTCTGTAGACAGATGGAATTTCATGTAACGTTCAGCCCTATAATCTTAAAATGTGAGCAAAATCAGCAGTTTTGTCATCACTTTAGACATTATGCTATAGAGAGTCATTCAAACACTAGCTCTAAAGTGACGTTGGTGAATTAGTAATGGCTTCTGCTGTTCTGATGTCAGCTGCAGATGTGAATGAATGGCGGAAGAAAGTAGTTCCTAATACAAAAGGGTTTTAGACTCGTGTTTGATTTTCTTATGTATATACACGATTATGCCGTCAAACTGTTGTATAAGCGCAATGTCACACAATTAGCAGTGTGATATGGCTTTATATCAGCACTGGTGGGACGCTAAGGCACTCATGCCATATATATATATATATATATATATATATATATATATATATATATATATATATATATATATATATAAAGCAAAATATGTAAAACAAATTCAAAATAATTAATGGCAATTAAAAAGCAAGAGACAGAAGGTGATTTTTTTTTTTTTTTTAAAATGAGACTTTAAAGCACCAAGGGAATAACATGACGTAATATGTAAAGGCAGGCCAATCCACAAATGAGGGGCTGTGATGGAAAAAGCCCTGTCCCCTCTTGATTTTAACCTTGATTTGGGAACAACTAGCTGAAACTGGTTTTCCGACCTGATTGGCCTCAGCTCTCTCAGTTTGGTTGACGGCCTTTTTTAGGTCTCTCCAGTAATGCTCAATTGGGTTTAGATCAGGGCTCTGACTGGGCCGTTCAAGAACAGTCATGGAGTTGTTTTGAAGCCACTCTATCAAAATTGATTGATTGTTATATTTTAATTATACATGCAAGTTATAATTTGTGCTCATAATTAAGGTTCAAATTGGAATTGTCAGTCTTTTTGGTTAGGGTAATGCCACCTATTATATGTTATTAGTAGAATCTGCGGATATTTTTTCTGTTTCTGCAGAGAGTTTTGTAAAATATTTGTGGATTTATGCTGAATTATTTTAGGAGTATTACAAGTAATATATAAAATAATTAATAATAAATTTTTAACTTTTATTTATTGTTTACTATGCACATTCAATTAGAATATATGGTAAACAGAGCAAGTCTCTCATATAATATCTCTACTAAAAGACAGAAAATATTACTTTAAATAAATCATATGGACATTTTATAAATACCATTATTATATAACAATAATTTTAGTGAAATTAATTTAAAAACTGAATATATATATATATATATATATATATATATATATATATATATATATATATATATATATATATATATATATATATATATATACACACACATTTACACAAGTAAATGCATAGACTAACTATGGGCTAAAAATCTGCAGAAATCTGTGGATTTCTGCGCACGCATTGATTCTGTGTGGGCCTAATTATTAGATATGAATTTTCTGCTATTTAAGATTTAATTTAATGTTTTAATTTTTTTTATCACTGTTAAAAATCACTTCTTAATGCAACTTATCATTTGTGCATTTACATTTACAATCAAGTTGAAGCTTCTACACTTCTATCTGAATATTTTAATCATTTAAATTCTTAATTAAATGGGGACACAGTGGCGCAATGGGTAGCATAATCGCCTCACAGCAAGAAGGTTGCTGGTTCGAGCCCCGGCAGGGTCAGTTAGCATTTCTGTTTGCATGTTCTCTCCGGGTTGGTGTGGGTTTCTTCCGGGTGCTTCGGTTTCCCCCAAAGTCCAAAGACATGCAGTATGGGTGAATTGGGCAAACTAAATTGGCCATAATATACGAGTGTGAATGTGAGTGTGTATGGGTGTTTCCCACTACTGGTTTGTGGCTGGTAGGGCATCCGCTGTGTAAAATATATATTGGAATAGTTGGTGGTCCATTCTGCTGTGGTGGCCCCTAACAAAATAAAGGGACTAAGCTGAAGGAAAGTGAATGAATGAATGAAATTCTTAATAAAAATGTGTTAAATGCATCTGTTTTTCATTGTTTAATCTAAATCTCCTTCTTGCTGAATACGTACACAATTTTTTATTATATGTATTAACATCAGAGCCGGTCACAATTAAGTTTGGTTTTTCCATATTTTAGCTTGTAACATGAATGTATGTTTATTTTAATTTGTATTTCTTAGAGATGAGAAACTAACAATGTTTTATGTGTGTTTTGTTTCAGGTGTGGCAGTGCACCTTTGGATCACATCTCATTGAATCGATTGTCCAGCATGAGAAAGAGATACAGGTATGTTTGAAAGATTCACTGAATCACTCAAGTCACGTATGAACTTTGGCATTAAAAAAAATGATTCACTGTACTATACGCATCACTGCATGTAATTTAGATTCTTTCAAAAAAGATTCACTGAATCTTTTTCATTACATTGTGTGATTTTGATGTGCTCAAAAATGATTCACAGAGTCATTTGCATCACATCGTCATATTATTTTGATTCTATCAAAAAAGTTCACTAAAGCACTCACGTTACTGTATAACCTTTGGTACTTAAAAAAGAAAGAAAAAAAGATTCACTGTATTATTCACATCACTGCATGTATCTTAAATTCTTTCAAAAAAGATTCACTGAATCTTTTTTATCACTTAGTGAATCAGTTTTGAGCACATTAAAACCACACGTCATTTGAATCACACCTTCTTGCTTTGTGGTTTCTAAAAAAGATTCACTGTATTATTCACATCACTGCATATTATTTTGATTATTTCAAAAATAATTCACAGATTTTTTTTATCACTTCGTGTGCTCAAAAAAGATTCACTGAGTCATTTGCATCACATCGTCTCATTAAAAAAAAAATGCTTCACTGTATTATTTGCATCACTGCATGTATTTTTACATTTTAAATTCACTGAATCTTTTTGATCACATTGTGTGATTTTGATGCGCTCAAAAAAGATTCACTGAGTCATCACACCATCTTACTTTGTGGTTTATAAAAAAGAGTCATTGTATTGTTGTCAAGCTGAATGTGGCATTACATTTTTCAGCATTGACTTTTAGGAATGTGTTATCTGTGAAGTAAATTCTGAGAAAGCATCCTTTCTCAGTGTTCCTGTAGTTTGACCTTTGACCGCTGGGGCTGGTTTGTTCTCAGCGGCAGGCGTGTTGTTTCTGTATCAAACATTCATGTTTCACAGACTCCTGACAGCTCAGGAATGCAGGATTCACCTCTTTCCCAAACACTTTGCACATGTCTGATTGATGAATGGTGTGTGTGTGTGTGTGTGTGTGAAGCTTAAATGCAAAAATTATGATGTCCTGTCTTACAGTTCTGAACAGTTCACTACATATTATTTTGATTCTTTCAAAAAAGATTCACTGTATTATTCGCATGACAACATGTTATTTAGATTCTTTTGAAAAAGATTGACTGAATCTTTTTCATAAATTTGTGTGATTCTGATGTGCTCAAAAATGATTCACTGAGTCATTTGCATCACACCACCTTTGGAGTTTTTAAAAAGATTTGCTTCACATTGTCTTTCTTTTGTGTTTTCAAAAAAGATTCACTGTATTATTCACATCACTACATATTATTTTGATTCTTTTAAAAAAATGATTCAATGAATCTTTTTCATCGCTTCACGTGATTTTAATGAGTCATATGCATCACACCATCTTTCTTTGGTGTTTTCTAAAAAGATTCACTGTATTATCCACATCACTGCATGTTATTTTGATTCTTTCAAAAAAGATTCACTCAATTTTTTTTATCACTTGATGTAATTTTTGAATCGCTCAAAAATGTACACTGAGTCATTTGCATCACCTCATCTAACTTTGATGTTTTAATTTGCTTATTTTGATTCTTTAAAAAAACGATTCACTGAATCTTTTTTATCAGTTCATGTGATTTTAATGTGCTGAGAAAGGATTTATTAAACCATTGGCATCACATTTTATTAGGGTTTTCATAAAAGATTCACTGTATTATTCATATCATATCATGTTATTATGATTCTTTAAAAAAATAAGTTTTGATGCACTCAAAAAAGGTTCAATGAGTCATTTGCTTCACTTTAATTAAATTTGGTGTTTTCAAGAAAGATTAACTTTGTTATTTGCACATCATTCATGTCATTTTGGTGTTTTCAGAAAAGTTTCACTCAATAATTTGCCGTACTGCATGTAGTTTTATTTTTCTCAGAAAAGATTCACTGGATGATTTGCACCACTGCATGTAATTTTAATGTTTTCAGCAATTATTTAATGAATCATTTTGCATCGCTCAATATAAGATTAAAGATGAAAAAAGATTTACTGAATCATTTGCATCAATAAATTAATATTTAACTTTATTCACAGAATCAGGAGTAGCAACAAAATGAATGCATAAACCATCAACTTAATTAAAATTTTATTGGAAGATTTTAAAAAAAGTTAAATGTCCATGCTTTTATCCAGAATGACGTTGAAGGAGTTGGATTGATTTCCCTGGAAACTGAACCCATGGCTTAGTGCTTGTGCTATTCAATTCAAGTTTTTTTGTTTAGTGATTTCCACAACAAATATTGTTTCAAAGCAGCTTTACAAAACCGGCTAGATAAACTCATGAACTAGAATCAAAATCCAAATTCAGAGTAAATGTATAAAGCTACATTGCACCAGTAGCTATGTTTCCATCCAAAAATGCAAAATAACTTTATGCGCAAAACTGGATTATCAGATAAAAGATGTGTGAATAAAGCAGCGTTTCCATCCAACGAGTTGAAGCTTACAAAATCGTCACTTCCTGATTAACTTGTGCCAAATATCAACAGGGAAAAGCTGCGTCGACCTTTTTTTCATTTATTAAATTACATTTGCCTCAGAGGGCAATCCTGACACGCAGTGAACGCGCGGTGGTGATTGAAGGCATGAGAGTCAGAGCACAGATGCTCTTAGTTCTGGAGATCATTAATAATATAATAAAACTAATACTGAAATGGTTACGCCATTTTACAATGAACAAAACAACATTTCAGTTGTTTTACAGTGTGCTCAGCCTGCTGGTTTGTCCATTCACACACATTTTTATCATCACATGATATCTTACAACAGAATCACATGAGTTTTTTTAATGCTCATGCTGGAATTTGTTCAGTAAAAGTGTTTCCATCGCAGTTTATACGCGTCTTTTCTTATCGAATAATAAGTTCAAACTCAGTTATGCGCATGTTTTTTATGCTCATTTTCAAAATTTATGCACATCTTGGCATTTCCATCAACAGTTTTTTTTATGCGCATCTCCAATATGCGCATAAAAGTAGGTAGATGGAAATGTAGCTAATGCTCCAGTTGAATGAAATAAATAGAAATGAATGGATTAACACTAAGTAAATGGAAAAGTTCAGTCTGATCTTGGCTGATTTAACAGGGGATCAGATGAAGGGCGAATGAAGTAGAACATTATGAGAAAGAGAAAAGCACACACAGTTCTTCAAATCTGACTTTATTCTCCTGACTCGGTTGATAGATAAAGTGAAAATTTGCTTTCCCAGAGCTCTTTTATTATATTTTAAGCTCAGAAGTGTCATTTTATTTTATTAGCGAATATTTCTGGAAGTGTTTTGGCTTCTCATCTGTTTCCTTAAATGTGTTCATTTGTGAGCCTGGAGCACAAAACCAGTCTTAAGTTGCACATGTTTATTTCTAGGAATTGCCAAAATTACACACTCTGTAAAAACCGTTTCAGTATTTTGTGTTTTGGGTTTTTTTATGGTTGTGAATTGCATTTTGGGAGCTTCATCTCTGCTCTGTCGACTTTTAATGTTGATAATTCAACTCTACAGTTTAGCAAAATGACTTTTGTTGACATTTTAGTAGTTCGAAATAATTTAATGTATAAGAAATAACAGAAATTAATAGGTCTTTAAAATAACAGAAAGTGTACTGTTTGTTTATTATATTAGATTTTTGTAGCATAATATACGCCCACCTAGACAATTTATCACTTTAAACTATTAAACATGCTCATAAAAGTCACTTTTTACAACTTTTTAAGGTTGAAAGTTGCTGGTCGAAAGATCAAGATCCCATAATGTCAGTTAAAAGCATAAATAATCAATAAAATCTTTGCTAATTTAATGCTAATTTATTATACTAATTTATTTGTATTTGTATGATCCCAATTTACGTACCTTTTTGCATATCATAATTAAAAAAATATGCTAATTTATTTACATATTTCTTTACAATATACTATGTACAGTGGGGGAAATAAGTATTGAACACTTTTTCTCAGAAAACATATTTCTAAACGTGCCGTGTACTTGAAATTTATGCGTAATAAAATTAAAATAACACAGGAAAAAAGTATTGAGCACATGAAAAAAGAGGGGTTTAGAAAGGCAGTGAAAGCCCAGACAGCAGCTGAAATCTCTCAGTAGTTCTTCTGCCCTTCCTCAGTGTAATTCAATATTAGCTGCTGCAGTCCAACATCTACATTAGCAGGAGGATGAAGATGAAAGCAGGGTGGACATTTCAGCAAGACAATGATACAAAACACAGCCTACACTCTCAGAAATAAAGGTACGAGAGCTGTCACTGGGGTAGTACCTTTTCAAAATATTTGTACCTAAAGAGTCCTTAGTGGTACCTCAAAGGTACATATCAGTACCCAAATGCACCTAAAATGCACCTTTGAGGTACCAACATGGACTCTTCAGGTTCAAATATGTTAGTTAGTTTGACTTTATTAATCCCCGGAGGGAAATTCACATGTCACAGCAGAGCTCTCCGTACTAAAAATAGATAAATAAGTTACATACATATAAAAACAATAATAACATTACATTTCATACTGCACACCTTGCACACCTTGGTTCCAAAAACAACGAGTAAACACTTGTACATATCTAATATGTACCTTTTGAAAAGGTATTACCCCAGTGACAGCCCTTGCACCTTTATTTCTGAGAGTGTAGGAAACTCTAAAAATGCTCTCAGAGAAAGAAAATCAAGCTGTAGAATGGGTTAGTCAATCAACTAACCTGAATCCAATATAAAATACAGAATAAAGCTCAGATTTGATAGACGAGACCCACAGAACCATCAAGATTTTTACAGTGTTGAAGTCTGAAAAACTCACACCTGAGCAATGCATGTGTCTTCTTTCTCCATATGAGAGGCGTCTTTAAGCTGCCGTCACCAAAAAAAGCCTTTTATATAAAGTATTAAAGGTTCAGGACACCCCGGAGAACTTTTTTTTTTTTATATTAAAAGATGTGTGTGTGTGTGTTGAGCATCAGTTAAGACAATGTTAGCACCTGTCAGCTTTAATTGTGGGGAAAACTGGATAATTTAGTGCTTTTGTCAGCTAATTTCAGCTTCCGGGTTTGAAATGATTTTTGGGGCGGGATCAAAATCGGCGACGTAGCGCAGAACTGCAAGTGCAATGATGACGCGTCGGTTTCTCATTATTATTCATAGCAGAGTTTTCTTATCCTATGAGAAGAGCCGGCTGCTTAATTATTCATGAGACCTGCCAGACCTGCCAGTGTCAAGCCCGAGCTGTGAGACACGTCACGGACCCACGGCACGGGCACACAGTATTTAGCCGTTCATGAAGGCTCATATGCGTTTGTTTCCATCATCCACGGGGTTTGTTGCATGTTTTCCCCTGCGGTCTTGTCAGGGCCGATCATACAGCAAAGCTGTGTGTGTGTGCTGCTAGCATTTTTGTCGGGAGAGCAGCACGAGAATTAGAGAATGGCGGACGCTGTCTTTTATCAGGAGTTCGTTCACATTCAGACACATCACTGTGCTGCTGTGTTTGCCTAAATCCTCCAGATTACCAGCAGGGCTAATGGTTAAAATAGACGGGTCAGGAGACCTGCTGCACTGAGTCTGCTGGATACAAGGATTGAGGGAGAAGTCCTCATTTATAGTGTTTACATGAACACACTTATCTTTACAATGATATAAATTGTGGTTTTCTGTATATGAAATTACGAATAACAAATGTAGCAGGGCATTAAATCACTGTTCATTTCTTTGCATTTTAACTTTGTAAACTATAAACTCATGCGTCTCCTCTTTGTGTCTCATTTTGTGAGCTAACTGACAACAACAGTTGTTCGCTCCCCTTCTCCCCTGCTGGCCACGCCCACTCCTGCCCGATGCTCGCGGAGCTCCACGCCCATTAATCATGCATCTTTTGAAAAAATTCCGAAGTAGACTTAAACCGAAAGTGGGGGGTGTCATGGCCCTTTAAACGTTTTTCAGATTTGTTTTGTTTTATTTTTATGTTTGTATTGTTGGTGTTTTCACCAAAATCTGGTTCAATTCCATGTCAACAACTATTTTAGAAATATGATTCCCAGGTAAAAACATGACCTGTTCCATACCTATTTTCCCCGCTGTATATATCTGAGAATCAATGGCATCTTTAAATAAAGCAAAGCTGCAGTATCTTGATGTCTACAAAATCCTCCACACTGCTGTTGTTTTGCTTCTGTGTTTTGATGATGTGAAATGCTGAAGGCAACATTTTTGCTGTTGTCCGTGCCGGCTTTTCAAATCAGACTGTAATCCTCATGTGAGCCGAATGTTGGCTTTAAAGTGGCCTTTCTTTGTGTGTTTTTCTGGTTTCAGGAATGGTCTCGGTCCGTCTAAGGAGGGTGAAGCGCAGTACTCTGTTGTTCATTGTACCGGCTACATCAAGGCCTGGCCGCCAGCGGGTACTAATACAGACACACTGACAACAAACACAAAAACACACTGGCGTGACTTTCAGTTCAAAGACACTGAAGCACTGAGACACACTAACAGACACACACACATGCAGACCAACACATATCGAGATTAAATCATTTATTCTACAAGCAGGTCTAATTTAAATACTTATATGCACTTAAGTAAAATCTAAATATATTATAGTAGGCTTATTTTAAGACGTAATATTTAGGTCATTTAATGTTTTCAGTAAAATATGAAATTGCAATAATAATGTGAAGGTTTATTCACATTATACATTTTTCTTGATGTTAAATAAAATAAAATAAATAAATGTTTTGAAAATATTATTATGTTATCTAAATTAGATTCAATGAATCATTTGCATCACTGCATGTGATTTTGAAATATTCAAACATGATTCACTAAATCTTTTTCCATCACTGCAGGTAGTTTTAATGTTGCTGAATAAAAGATTCAGTGAATCATTTACATCACTGCGTGTAGATTTGATGTTACGATAGAAAAATAATTAGTGAATCATTTACAACACTACATAGGATTTTTAAATATCCGAACAAGATTTACTAAATCTTTTCATTGCTGCATATTGTTTCAATGTTACCGAAAAGGATTCAGTGAGTCATTTACATTACTGCATTTATTTTTTAATGTTACAGAAAATAAGATTCAGTGAGTCATTTGCATCACTGCATGTAATTTTGAAATATTCAAACATGATTCACTAAATCTTTTTCATCACAGCAGGTAGTTTTGGTGTTATTTAATAAAAGATTTAGTGAATCATTTACATCACTGCATAGAGATTTGATGTTACTGAAAAAATAATCTGTGAATCATTTACTCTGCATAGGATTTTAAAATATCCAAACATGATTCACTAAATCTTTTCATTGCTGCATATAGTTTTGATGTTAGCGAAAAAGATTCAGTGAACTTATTCACTGAGTCATTTGCATCAGCACATGCAATTTTTTTCTTGTTTCTTCTTTAAAAAGTAGTTTTATTCAAAATTAGATTACAGATTTAGGCTAGCATAACCCAAAGCCAAAATGACCCGAAGCTTCATGTTAAACATGTTTGAATCATTTACATTACTGCATGTGATTTTGAAATATTCAAACATGATTCACTAAATATTTTTCCATCACTGCAGGTAGTTTTAATGTTACTGAATAAAAGATTCAGTGAATCCTTTACATCACTGCATGCAGATTTGATGTTTGAAAAAAGAATCGGTGAATCATTTACTCTGCATAGGATTTTGAAATATCCAAACATGATTCACTAAATCTTTTCATCGCTGCATATAGTTTCAATGTTACCGAAAAGGATTCAGTGAGTCATTTACATCACTGCATATATTTTTTAATGTTACAGAAAATAAGATTCAGTGAGTCATTTGCATCACTGCATGTAATTTTGAAATATTCAAACATGATTCACTAAATCTTTTTCATCACAGCAGGTAGTTTTAATGTTATTGAAATTAAATATTTAGTCAATCATTTACATCACTGCATGCAGATTTGTTGTTACTGAAAAAAGAATTGGTGAATCATTTACTCTGCATAGGATTTTAAAATATCCAAACATGATTCACTAAATCTTTTCATTGCTGCATATAGTTTTGATGTTAGCGAAAAAAGATTCAGTGAACTTATTCACTGAATCATTTGCATCAGCACATGCAATTTTGTTCTTGTTACCTCTATAAAGTAGTTTTATTCAAAATTATATTACAGATTTAGGCTAGCATAACCCAAAGCCAAAATGACCCGAAGCTTCATGTTAAACATGTTTGAATCATTTACATCATTATAAGTAGTTTTGATTTTACGTAAAAAAAAAAAAAAGATTCAGAGAATCATTTACATTTCTACATGTAGTTTTGATGCTACCGGAAAAGATTCAATGAATCATTTACCACCACTGCATGTAATTTAGAAAAATCTAAAAATTATTCACTGAATCATTTGTGTCGGGGTAGAATTATTATTTTTTTGAATCAGCAATAGTAATATATCAGATTCATTTAGGTTAGCATAACCCAAAAACCAAAATGACTGAAACCTCATGTTGAACAAGTTTGAACCTCTTGAACTCTCTTAACTCTGTGTTAAATTCTCATCGAATCGACAGAGAGTTCTGGAGTTCTGGATGGCTCCCACATGACTCCAGATCCAGATCTCTCCAGCCCGAGATTCATATTAGCACAACAGCAGGTGAAAGACAGATATTGAGCAACCCTGAACTCAAAGCCCAAAATGTGAACTTTCTTGCCTCATATCTCAGCTGGAGGTTCTCCAGGTCTCCTACAAATATGTGTGTCATGGAAATCAATCGCACATGCTCCACATCCTGCTTGTTGCATAACGGCACAAAAACTAGGCTAAAAATAACCAGCGGCGCTCGATCGTCAGCTATTATCGCGTCTTATTGGAATGCGGTGATCTAAACGGAGACATCGCGTATCGTGTTCATAACACGTTATGAACGGTTAACAAACTCTGTGGAAAGAGCAGATGGGATGTTCATCAGTGAAAACAAATACAAGACTTTATGTATGTGTTTTTATTAGTGTGATATGCAAACCAATGAATCCTGTCTGCTGGTATAATGTCACTTTTGTGCAAATTAAAGGCAGTAAATTAATTGTAAACATCAGTGCATCTGGCTTGTTGTTTGATTTTCAGCGTGTCATTTGTTTAGACTAAACAGTGATAGATATAAACAGCCGTGCCTGTTTGATTTGCAGCACAGACTCATTAGTTTTGCAAACTAGTGTTGATGAATTGAGTTGTATTTTACTCGAGGTGACATGTTTGCCGTGTGAATGTGGGAGCAGACAGTGAAATGATGACAATGGGACAATAAATTGCCCTTACGTGTCTCTGCTCTATAATAATATCATTCTATGTTTGTTCATCGTCTCTGATGGATGCACTGCATATAAAAACAAACACATCACACAGCCAATATGAACCCTTAATGAAGCGATTCGTTCAATTAATTAGTCAAAATGACTCACGAGTTACCAGTTTGACTTGCATTGATCTTATAAATAAAATATCGGTGTCCTGAAATGTTTTTCCCATTAATTTCTGCTATTCTTCTATTGAATTGGTATATAAAAAAACTTAACATAAAAGCAATAAAGCCAAAAAAATATGCATATTGTATAGAAAATACACTTACTGGTCACTTTAATAGGTACACCTGTTCAACTGCTTGTTAATGCAAATTTCTAATCACATTGCAGCAACTCAATGCATTTAGACATGTAGACATGCCTATCAAGACGATCTGCTGCAGTTCAAACAGAGCATCAGAATGGGAAAGAAAGGGGATTTACGTGACTTTGAGCGTGTCAGATGGTCTGGTCTGAGTATTTCAGAAACTGCTGATCTACTGGGATTTTCACGCACAACCATCTCTAGGGTTTACAGAGAATGGTCCGAAAAAGAGGAAATATCCAGTGAGCGGTAGCTCTGTGGGGGGAAATGCCTTGTTGATGTCAGAGGAGAATGGCCAGACTGGTTCCAGCTGACAGAAAGGCAACAGTAACTCAAATAAGTGCTTGTTACAACCGAGGTCTGCTGAAGAGCATCTCTGAACACACAACATGTCCAACCTTGAGGAAGATGGGCTACAGCAGCAGGAGACCACACCAGGTGCCACTCTTTTCAGCTAAGAACAGGAAACTGAGGCTACAATTCACACAGGCTCACCAAAATTGGACAATAGAAGATTGGAAAAACGTTGCCTGGTCTGATTAGTCTCGATTTTTGCTGCGGCATTTGGATGGTAGAGTTGCCTTGTATCAACAGTTCTGGCTGGGGGTGGTGGTGTAATGGTGTGAGGGATATTTTCTTGGCACTCTTTGGGCCCCTTAGTACTAATTGAGCATCTTGTCAACACCACAGCCTACCTGAGTATTTTTGCTGACCATGTCCATCCCTTTATTACCACAGTGTACCCATCTTCTGATGGCTACTTCCATGTCATAAAGCGTGAATCATCTCAGGCTGGTTTCTTGAACATGACAATGAGTTCACTGTACTCAAATGGCCTCCACAGTCACCAGAGCTCAATCCAATAGAGCACCTTTGGAATGTGGTGGAACAGGAGACTCACATCATGGATGTGCAGCCGACAGATCTGTAGCAACTGCGTGATGCTATCATGTCAACATGGAGCAAAATCTCTGAGGAATATTTCCAGTAACTTGTTCAATTTATGCCATGAAGGATTAAAGCGGTTTTGAAGGCAAAAAGGGGTCCAACCAGGCACTAGTAAGGTGTACCTAATAAAGTGGCCGGTGAGTTTAGATTCCAAGCCTTTCATAGTGTTTTACATTTTGTGAACATGTACAGCTTTTATTTATGTAAAATTAAAACGGACACTTTTTCTTAAATACATATTAATTAACACTTCAAAAAAAGATTCACTGAATTATTAGCATTGCTGAATGTAACTTTATTGTTTAAAACAAATATTTGCTGAATCATTTTACATCAGTTTCCACAAAGTCATCCACAAAGACACTAACTGTAGAACTGAACGTAGAATAATAACAATTACACTGTGAAAGGCTGCACAGTAGCTCAGCACGGTGGCAGTACTGTCGCCTCACAGCAAGAGGGCCACTGGTTCGAGTCCCAGCAGAGTTTCCTCTAGGTCAGGGGTCTCAAACTCAATTTACCTGGGGGCCGCAGGAGGCAAAGTCTGGGTGAGGCTGGGCCGCATAAGGGATTTCACAAAAAAAGTCCTCAAATGTCATTATTAACAGTTTTAATTATTTCTTCTGAACATGAAGTGTCCTGAACATTAATAGAACATTGAGTGAAGATTATGAACAGTTCTTCTGAACATGGCATCTTTTGCCTACTTCTTGCTGCCAGAGACTTGACAGCGCTTCTTCTCACAAATCTGAACCACATTTGGCTTTAGAGCGGAAGCAGTTGAGACCCTCAGTATGGCT